GTGTGCTTGTAGTTCCGGCTGCTTGGAAGGCTGAGGCGGAGGGATCGCCTGAGCCCAGCAGGTCGAGGCTGCGGTGGCGGTCAGCGTGCCACTGCCCTCCAGCCTGGGCGACAAAGTGAGACTCCGACTAAAAAGGAAAGAAAAGAAAGCCGAGCGCAGACGCACAGCCTTAACCCGCTAGCCAGTACCCAGCGACAAAGCCAGTCCTCCGGGACGGATAGTGGGCATGCGCAGAAGCCGCGGCCCTCGCGCGCCCCTAGAGGCGGACAGGCCTCGGCGCGCTGAGCAGGCCGGCTTCCCTCGGCCCCACTCGGCCTCCACCCGCCCCGAGCCCCGCCTCTTTCTCCCAGCGCGGGCGTTGATTGGCGAGACGTGGGCTATAAAAGTCCAAGCGCAGGCCTCGGTGAATGGCTGTAATTCCAGCACCTTTGAAGGCTGGGGCGGGAGGCTCGCTAGAGGACAGGAGTTCGAGATCAGTTAGGGAACGTAACCACACCCGCGTCTCTACAAAAAATTTTAAAACAAAAACAAAAACGAGTGCAGACTCACGGTCTTTATGCACCTTCGCTGGAGAGAGGCTGGGTTTTTCGGGGCCATAAGGCCGAGACGAGGTCACCTGCCTCGTCTCCAAGCCTTCCTGCATCCTCAGCAATGTGGACGTGACAGAGCAGGTGACAGATGGGCCCGAGCGCGAGATCCCACGTCTGGAAGGAAGCTGGCGGCCTCCTGGGGCAACGCCTTTGCCTCTGCTCTGGCGTCTGATGGGGGTTCCCTGTTCATCCCCAAAGCCCAGCTCTACCATCCCCAGGGGCCCTTCCCTGACGCCCAGGGGCACTGGGCTTGGACCAGCGTGACTATCGCAGAGCCCGCGTGGAAGGCCAGACCTGGTACAGGGCTCCGCCCTCGTCTCCCTCTGGGAGTGGGTCTGAACACTAATACCTGCACCTGCAACCTGGGAGGTGCTACTGTGAAACTAAATGAATGAATGAGGCGTGGGGGACTGGGGTTGGCAGGGGCGCCTGGTTTTTGCCCTAGGGACTACTACAATGGAAAGAGCAATGGCTGGCCTGGAGACCTGGCTTCCAGTTCCGGCTGTTAATCCCTGCTGTTGTGTCCCCCTCCTATCTGAGCCCTAATTCTGTCACCAGTAAAAGGAGAGTTGGAGCCAGTTGCAGTGGCTCGCGCCTGTCATCCATCCCAGCACTCTGAGAGGCGGAGGTGAGAGGATTGCCTGAGCCCAGGAAGTTGCCAGGGCAACTTGCTCATCTCTACAATAAATTAAAAAATCAGTCAGGGGTGGTAGTGTGTGCCTCTAGTTCCAGCTACTTGGAAGGCTGAGGCAGAAGGATCGCCTGAGTCCAGCAGGTTAAGGCGGTGGTGGCTGTGAGCACGCCACTGCACTCCAGCCTGGGTGACAGTGAGACTCAGACTCAAAAAAAAAAGACAGAGAGATTTGGGCTTTGTGATAAATACATATTGAAGGTCAGCCACAGTGGCTCATGCCTGTAATCCCAGCACTTTAAGAGGCCCAGATGGGAGTATTGCCTGAGCCCAGGAGTTCGAGACTAGTCTGGAAAACACAGCGAGACCCAGTCTCTACCAAAATAATCAAAAAGTTAGCCAGGCGTGATGGTACACGCCTGTAGTCCCAGGTACTCGGGAGGCTGAGGCAGAAGGATCGACTGAGCCCAGGCATTTGAGGCTGTGGTGAGCCATGATCACACTACTGCACTCCAGCCTGGGTGACAAGGTGAGATTTCAACTCAAATATACCAAGAGGGCACCAAAAAAAATTTATACACATTAGGAAAGAAATAGTTGTGTTAAAATTGCAATACTCAGGGCAATCCCTTCAGGTCCCCTCCCACTGTGGGAGCTTTTCTGTCCTCTCAATAAATTCGGCTTTCTCAAAAAAAAAAATTGCAATACTCGGCCGGGCACAGTGACTCACGCCTATAATCCCAGCACTTTGGGAGTCTGAGGTGAGAGGATTGCCGAGCCCAGGGGTTGGAAACCAGCCTGGGCAACATGGCGAGACCTCATCTCTACAATAAATCAAGAAAAATTAGCAGGGTGCAGTGGCTTGTGCCTGTAGTTCCAGCTACTTCAATGGCTGAAGTGGAAGATCGTCTGAACCCAGCAAGTCAAGGCTGTGGTGGCCGTGAGTGCACTACTACTGTCCAGCCTGGGCAACAGGGTGAGACTCCAACTCAAAAAAAAAAAAATCGTAATACTCAATATATACCAATAACAAAAGATGAACATAAGTCACGTGTGACTTCTGCAACTACAAGAGGTACTCACAGAGGCTACCATCAGCGTCCAGACACTTCTGATGGCGACAAGCTAAAATACTTAAATATCACTCAAAATGTGCATACACCTCTCTGCACCCCCGGTATATATATCATATATATGTAAGTGCACACGCAGAGCACCGGATCCGAGAGGCGCAGCCTATTCTCCTGAGTGTGAGGCTCTTGTGTTGCTCCCCTGCAACTGACACCTGCCACTGGCCCCCCACCTTGAGGATACCAACACCCGAGTTCACTGAGGAGCTGGGTCTGGCATTTATGACATCCCCAGCCTCCCACCTCATTCCTTGCTCTTCCTCCTTACGTTGTTAGTGTTCTCATTAACCTGTTCAAAACATCCTGACTCCCCCCTGCTGACACCTGTGCTGCCACTGCAGACAGGGAGGCAGAGGCAAGCTGGACAAAGGACTCTAACAGGTAATGTTGCCAAGACAAGCTCGAGGATCAGAGCAGGTTCTAACCCGGGCCTCCACCCACGCACTAGTTCGTGACCTGTTTCCACGTCCCCACTTGTAACATGGGCCACACCATCATGGGATCGTCATGAAGAGTGACATGGTTAGTGCAGTGCTGATGCTGTCAGTGGAGGACAGCAAGCACTTCCCGTGCAGAGACCCATCGTCCACACTGCCCTCAACAGCCCCGTCATAGGACAGGTTGAGACTGACTTCGAAATGCATGGCACCATCGTCACAGATTCTGGAATATTCGCATACTTACGGTTTTCATATACAGGCTGAGCATCCCTCACCTGACAATCTGGAAAGCTCTGAAGAGCATTTCCTTTTGAGTGTCACGAGGTTGTCTGATTTTTGAGTTGGTGTCTCACTTCATCGCCCTGGCTGGAGTGCAGTGGCACACTCATGGCCACCCCAGCATCAACCTGCTTGACTCAGGCCATCTTTCCACCTCAGCTTTCCAAATGGTCAGAACTACAGGTGTGCGCTACCATGCCCAGCTAACTCTTAAAAAATTTTTATTGTAGAGATAAGGTCTGGCCAAATTGTCCAGGCTGTTCTCAAATCTGTGGGCTTAGGCAATCCCCTCACCTTAGCCTCCCAAAGTGCTGGGATCATAGGCTTGAGCCACCGCGCCTGGTCGGATGTTCGATTAGTGATGCTCAGCCTGGATGAAAAGCACAGAACTGTGGACAGTCGGCAACATGCCCTGCTCCCCCCACCAGACCCCGCCCTGCTCAAGACTCAGAATGGCTCACCAACCCCTTATGCACACTTGTTAGATGCACACCCCAAGCACTTACGCAGAGCAACAGAAAGGCGCACAGGCTGGAATTTACTGCTTCTGTACTTAACCTTTTAAGTCAGAGTCTCACTCTATCACTCAGGCTGGAGTGCAATGGCACACCTAAACCTGCTGAGCTCAAGAGATCCTTCCACCTCAGCCTTTCAAGTAGTTGGAGCCACAGGTATGCACGACACCAGGCTAACTTTTTTTTTTTATCTGTTGTAGAGGTGAGGTCTAGCCAAGTTGCCCAGGGTGGTCTTGAACCCCTGGACTCGGGCAATCCTCTTGCCTCTGCCTCTCAAATTGCTGGGAAGACAGATTTGAGCCCCGTGCCTGGTATGTAATTGACTTTAAAAAATGTTAAGCTTGCATTAGGAAAAATGTCTCTGGATCTGTGGCGGTGGTTTTTCACTGATAGCTTAGGACATTCCAGTTATCTTCTGACAGATGAGCCTGTGACTTTTGCTATTGTAACCATGCTGTTTTTCTTCCTGGAAATAAATGCTCATGTCCACCTGTAGTTTCTCTAGCAATAACTGGAAGAGGAACTGCCAACTTCCCAGATTACAGTAACTCTTAAAGGCCTTGGCGCACTGCACTCATAAGACAGGGTACAGAGGCCCCCCAAAAAGTGAATTTTCACTTCATGCTGTTTAATTGGCCAAAAAAATCTGCTTGTTAGCTCTTCAAACACAGGCCTGAACCCTCTTCATCCACTCTGTGTAGCTGAGACCCTGAAGAGTGTACTTTCCCCATCCATGAGGTACTGCTGTCAAGGCCCTGAGAAATGAACTAGGGACTGCTGAGTCACATCCCAGAGATGCAGTGTCACCCAGGACAGCTGAAGTTCAGCACAGGGACTCACCAAGGAGGCTTTCTAAGGCCAAGGGCTGTATTAACCCCCAAAGTACAAGGGACAAATCCTATAGTCTTAAGTCACACAGGCCAGATGCACTGGCTCATGCCTGTTATCCCAGCACTTTGGGAGGCGGAGACGAGAAGACTGCCTGAGCTCACGGGTTGGAGACCAGCCTGGGCAACATGGCGAGACGTCATCTTCACCATAAAATCAAAGAACTAGCTGGGGACGGTGATGCACGCCTGTAGTTCCAGATACTTGGAAGGCTGAAGTGGAAGGATCGCCTGTGCCCAGCAGGTTGAGCCTGCGGTGGCTGTGATTGTGCCACTGCACTCCAGCCTAGGTAAGAGAGAGACTCTGACTCAAGAAGTCACACAGGTCACCTCAACAGGTATCTGCTCTGATCCTTTCTCCTCCACCTCAGTGGTTTTCAGCACTGTAACATCAGGCATGTTTTACTAGTGTTAGGCTTGTATAAGATCTCCCACCTGGCAATGGCGACAGGAAAAATCCCAGCTTGTGTCATGGCCCAGTAGGCGGAAAGCCACACTGTGAAGTGACACCATCTTTACACATTCCCAAACAGGCAAGGCCAACACAGCAGAGGTCAGCTGTTTATTGAACACATTATAAAAGGGTTAGTCAAACAGACCAAAGCCCATGTCATCATCAGACTCCTCAGACTCTTCCTTCTTTGCTTCCACTTTCTTCTCCTCAGCTAAAACAAAGAAAAACAAGCAGCGTCAGCCATGCCTTTCCATCCTTAAGTTCAAGAGCCCTTGAACACGCACGGTCAGACACCCCACAGCATCCGCCCATCTCATGCTTTAAGGTTTCCAGACATCTAACTGTAGCAAATGAAGGGCAATCTGGTCTATATACTCTTTTTGTAATCTCCACATCCCTACCCCCATTATAAGAAATTCAGGCTTCCTACCTGGGGCAGCAGCAGCGGTGGGGGCAGGACCCCCAGCTGGGGCAGCGCCAGCTGCAGGTGCAGGCCCGCCAGCCCCCACAGAGCAGATGAGGCTCCCAATGTTGACGTTAGCCAGGGCCTGTAACACACGCAAATAAGCGCCACTTCTGTCATGACATAGCAACCCCCAACCACCAAAAAAATGCCTCCAACTTCCATTGGGTTCCACATCCATGGACTCAACACGTATTTTGAAGAAGCACTTGTACTAAGCATGCAGACATTTTCTTGCTATTATGCCCTGGACTAGACAGTTTAACAACTGTCTACCTAGCTCCAATATTTTATGGGGTATTTAGATAATGCTTCAGAGAGCACACATGATCCTCGGTCAAATGCTATTATTAGCTTTACTTGCGAGAGATCAAGTAACCTGTGCAAGGAGGGCAGCCCGGGTTCGCTCCAAGGTAGCGACTCTGCCACGAGCCTGTGAAAGCCCAATATGGGGAGTGGTCGATCGACGGCCACTAAACCCAACTTTCACTCAACCAGGGACTTTCACACTGAAGGGATTTGTTTGCAACTCAGCACGGATGGTACTCGGTCTCCCCGTGATCCTTCTGCGAAGGAATGACCTGGTAAGGAAATTTTTTTGGCCATAATTTCAGGGCAGAAAGAGCTCCAAAACTTCTTTGTCGGGTGGACGAGGCACTGGCCGTCGGTGCACAGCTTCCCAAGGGAAGTCCTTCAAAGATGACCGGAGTGAGATTCAGCAATGAGAGACGGAACACTTTTTTTAGGACGAGTTTGCTCGTCCTAAAACTGTTGGGACCTCGGACACTGAGAGGACCTTTGTGGTCTCCTCGCCGACCTCGCCCGCCTGCAGCAGCCTTCTCACGTCTCCCGAACACCGCCTCACCTTTGCAAACAAGCCAGGCCAGAAAGGTTCCACGGTCACCCCGGCGGCCTTGATGAGAGCGTTGATCTTATCCTCCTGCAGCAAATAAAACGTCAACCCTTCGTACTCCAGAAAAACCCAAGTTCAAAGCAGCGCAAGACACGCACAGAACCGTCTTGCACGCGCGCTCGTTTCAGAGGACCAACTCCTCCTACTCCCCGGGGATCACAGCTACGCGTGCCAGGACAGGCCCGGGCCGCGCGGCTACCTTAAGGGCCCGGGAGGGGA